GGTCGAATCTCGCGTTTCTCATGCTTCATTATTAGCAAGTTGCTCATTCTCATCAATCGACGGAAAGCTATCTAAATTCCTTCTGAAGGCCCTCTGCGAATGCAGCATTTTTCCACCATGCCATCCTTTATTCCTCCTCAGTTTGTATGGCCCTTTGCTTCTGCTTAACTTTGGCTTCAGTTACTACTTCTAGTTCATCTTCCAAACCTCATGCCTGCTTTCCCAGTTCTTTCTGCAAGTTCACAACCTGGGTTTCAAGCCCATTGATATGATTCAAAGCTTTTGAATGTCGTAGCCCCTTCCTTTTTGACTTCTTCCTTCAAGTTTTCTACCTGGAGTTTGAGCTACTTTACGTTGGCTAAGGACTTAATAATTTTGTTGTATTTCCATTTTTCTTCTATGGGTTTGCTTTAGATCAGTCTTCTATAAAATCCGCTCAAGCAATGCCTAGGTATAAGGTTTAGACAGAACGCTACGCCTTGACAATAAACATTTAGCGTAGCTATGTCAACGAGCCGAGCCGAGTCGGAAAAAAAAAGCTCGGGCTCGGCTCGAGCTTTTTTCGGGCCCGAGCCGAGTCGAGTCGGAAAAAAAAGCTCGGGCTCGGCTCGAGCTTTTTTCGGGGCCGACCCCTGCCAAAAAAAATAAGGTTCGGCCCGAGTCTTAGCAGGTCGAGCCGAGCCCGGGCCGAGCTGGCTCGGTTATTTATTTTTTTTTTTCAATTATTTTAGCTTAGAATTTTTTTTTATTATTTTTTATTTTTTTAAATTGATCACGTGCCGACCCCCCAAAATGGGGCTCAGCCCGAGCCGGGCCCGACTCGGACTTTTTTATGGGCCGAGCCCAAGTCGACGAGTTTTTTTGCCACCACTACCCCTCTCTCATGGGGGTGGGACTCACTGCATAAAATATATTTTTATTTAAGTGGGTCTCACCTCCCATATGAGGGGGGTGTACAGTCCGATGTACATTATGATGTGCAATTAGCAAAGCCCTTGTTCCAATTTGACTTCTTATCAATGTTTTTTAGGTTGAATTACGAAAAAGGGATGTGTCATGTTACCTTTAGTTATTCAAACTTAGGATGGTATGATTGACCAATCGTAACAAAAACAAAACTCGATTAGCAACTTGAAACAAAATGAAGTTTAGTTACATAAAATTGTACTAAATATTTATTGACCACCAGTTATTTGACCCTACAAAGATGCACGACAGGACATAGCACACCTAGACGTACCTAAGAACTATGTGCAAAATACTTCACAACTTGAGCTTATCCTGATTGGGACCAAATTTTGAGAAGAAATGTGCAAGTACAGCAAAGAAGGAAGCAAGGCCCCACATGATCCAATTTTTCTAGTCGTGATAGGTCAGGAAAAATTTCCTCTTGGGGATAAATGTTCTATCAGATTGCAGCAATGCCCTGCAAATTGCTTCCGTCATTGCAAATGAAGTCACGGGATCCGATTCATCTGGAAGAATTCCTTGTTCTGTTAAACACGGTATGTCGTATGCACCAGTCGTTTCTGGTATCCCTAGATATTCGCAAATCTTCAGCCGGCCGTTGATTCTGTCCTCAGCATTTAGTGTGTCTCCATGTGTTAGAATCAACATTGGATTCTCATCTGCGATCAACGTCGAGTAGTAGTTTACATATACGTATATGAGATAAGTACATCTTACAACATTAACTTGGAGCAAATCGCTCTACCACTGAGCTGCTGAAAAGAGTAATTTCAAATTAAAGTTTGAACACAAGGTTGTGATCCTTTAGTATCCCACTCTTCTCAAAACAACGTTTTCATGTGTCATGTCTCAGTGTTCTATTTCCATACAACAATAATATAACAGATTAGAGAAAGGACAAATCTTACTGCATTTTTTGATAGATGGCAAATGGAAGAGGTCTCTTAGTGCCTCTACTGGCTTCAAGTCACCACATTTGAATGCCTTGTGAATTTCTGATAAATCAGCCACAACCATTACACAATTGACCTTTCTCTTAACATATCTTGAATTTGACAGCTCCATTGATGCACTAATTTCATCCCCAGGTCTGTAACAAGGCTGGTTATGGCGAACACCTGTAGCCATCCATGTCGAAACGTCCTCTAAGCCGTAATTCATTTGGTTTTGATCTAAGCCCCTCGTATCGTACACACAAAACCCATTTCTTGGTGATCTTAGAACGTTGTGTTCCTCTAGAAACATTGTCGTATAATTCGAAGATTCACCTAAATACAGGCAATATAAAACAAATACAATTAGATGGTTATAATAAAATAGGATAGAAGAAAGGGAAAAACATTAAAAACTTAGATGGCGGTAAAATATTTGATTTTTGGGAGGCGATCAAACAAAAATGGAGTCAAGCACACAACAATTTACCCGAAAATAATTTTATGAGTTTGGTGAACGCAATTATTACAACTATATAGGGTAAAAGTCACCCTGATACTATAGGAGAGGATGCTTAGATGGTTATAAGCTCACAAGTCACTTGTTAAACTTAAATAATTGAGATGCAATCAGAATCACTACAATCAACCATGACTTTTACATTCACTCGGTCCACATTTCCAACTACGAACATTTTACTTAATCCCTGTTTGGTATCGTTTAAAATTAGATTTTAATCAACAATTAATTTTAAACACATATTTTATGGGTCCCACAACTTTTTAACTATACAGTTAGTTAAATTTTATTTTATCAAAATCTATTAAAAAACTGATTTTAATCCCACCAAACAGGGGCTTAATGTAAATCAGGAATCGTTTGGCTAGGTTTTCAATAAGTTAAAATACATTTTTGAGATTAAAACGTTATTTTTAAACATATTTAAATAATTTTCTAAAAGTGCTTTATTTGATTAGAAGGATTTTTACGCTTTATTTGAGCTAAATTATTGTAGAATGAAAATGAAAAATATAGCCGTTACATGGATGGAGATAGAAAATTTAAATTTAAATATTAATATGATGGATAACGGTCATATTTTTCATTTTAATGAGATAATAATGTAGATCAAACAGAGGCTTAAAGTAAGTTACGATTACTTAAGTCTTTGTTTGACAACCATTTTTATAAAATCTTTTATTTTTTTAAATTTATTTTCAATTACACATTTTTAAAATAAAATATTTTTTACGTAAATGAAAAATCATTTCTTCCTTTTTAACCACCCATTTTCTAAACAATCACTGTTCAAAACTCATTTTTCTCCAAAATATCTTTTTAATGATTGTCAAACAGGGGTTCAGAAACTCTTCTACAAAAATCAAAAGTCCTGCCAAACTAACTCTTAGCTTATCTAGGACCATCCTATTGGATGGAGTGCAGGTGGGATCGACACTCCATCCAATAGGGTGGTGCCGGGTGTTCATTATGGACACTTTTATGTACACTATAATGTACAAGGAGAATAATCCATTTGGAAAAAAGGACATGTAACCACTTGAGATCAATTAGGTGAAATTGATGGCAATTTTTTTAGAAAAACATTATTTTAAATAATGATTTTTTTAAGAATGTATGGTTAGAAAGTAGCAAAAAGTTTCGAGTGTATGTGTATAATATTTTATTATATAAACGTCTGATTAAAAATAAATATGTAAAAAAAAATTTAAAGAAAAAAGGGAGTTTTGAAAGAAAGAATGACAAGGAGCTCAATTACCGAAATTTTTTTACCTGATGTTTGAGCAAAAGGGATGAGGCCAGATCGACCAAGAACATTATACATCAAGTTGACGAAAGAACTTTTCCCAGAACCAGAAATCCCTACAAGAAGAATTGTGACCACAGCCGGTATATCCATATCTTCTTTCTTGATACCGCCGACCGGCAACCAGAAGTCGCCGGACCGGTAACTTATCAGCTTATGCCGCAGATCTTCAAGTCCTTCAACAGCAACAAACGCCAGCCTCTCCATTTCTCGCAGAACTTTGAATCTTGGAGTGAGATTTGAGAAATCAGAGATGCCAATTTTGAAATGCCCATTTTCGTCGAATTCTTCCGGCATTCTCCACCAGCAAATGGCCGATTTCTGTAACCCGTTTTGATCTTCATCGCTGAAGGAAAGATACTTCCTCATTGAGCTATGGAATAGTGGATTATCCCAGACCTATACTGAGGTATTGACTGCGTTGAGCTACCAAAGAACAAATTGAGGTTAGATTGCGGTTGATCCCATGAATGGATACATAGAAGAAATTTTTTATTTCTTGGACATTTTCAGAACGTGGGTGGGTGCACCAATTGGTCATAAAAAACCTATTTAGGTCGTTTTAGCCCGTTGAGCCCAATTTTCTCCCATTTTTTATTTTTTTTTCAAAACTCATTTTTAATCCTATATTCCATGAATAAAATAATTTTACACATAAATATAAATTTTTCTTACTTTTTAGCCACATATTCTTTAAAATAATTTTGTTCATTGTTTGGCTCCCATTTTGAATAATTTATAAATTTGGGAATAATAATTGATGGGAGAATGTGTAGTTGAAAAATAATGAAAAAAATTTAAATTTATATGTAATATTATTTTATTTAAAGAATGTGCGATTAAAATTAAAAAAAAAGAAAAATGTAACGATGGCCAAGGGCTTAGTATAAAGAACTATTTAAGATTCAATCAAGAGAGGAACGTGCTTTTAAATGGAAGAAATTTTTTTGTCATCTATCGTCTGAGTTGTCATTATCAGATTATGACACAGAACACGGACTATCACAAGCTTGAAATCATTCAAACTTTCTAATACACCGTTTGGGATGGGCTCTAGTTGTTTGTGGTCGTTGTTTTATCGAAATAAAAAAATAAAAAAGGAAAAGAAAATAAAATAAATAAACAATAATATCTCCATTTATTCAAACTTTCTATACAAGTTTTGATGAAATGTACATTTTTCTTTATGACGATTTCTCATTTACACTTGTAAAAATCTCATTTTTTTTATAGCTATGTAAATTTAAATTTCTGCCAATTTTTTTTTGCCTCTTTAAACCGAATTTGAATGTTTGTCAAACCCTGTTAAATAGTGGTACAACGCTAGCACATTCCGATCTTGTCTTGAAGTCGGATTCTCATTAGGAACGGCTTGGATTCTTCTAGGCGATCTCGGCGGAGATGCGTATAGGACCGAGGCCTCTAGAATTTCACGACGCATATTTTCTTGATCTTGTGCGTGCATTTGTGTGCGAAGAGCTGTGATATATAAACCGGAAGCAAGAAAGACGGTTAATAGACTGAACACACCAGCAGCTGTGAACAAACCCTGTCGAATTATTAGGCAACTCTCTCGTGGCATTTGCCAATTTTTCAGATGTCCCGACTCAACACTTATTCCTATTAGTAACAAAATTTCTCCAACGGCAAAACATACCCTGCAACGAAGTCAAGAAACCAATGTTTTAGTTCTAAAATTCGCGGGTGAAGTTAGAAAGGATGGTCGAACATGAGATAATGTTAGGTCATGGTACCAAGCAATATTGTGCAAAATAATAGATAGATTTTTAACTTATTTTTCTTCCTTCGTAGTTCAAAATCAACAAGTTCAACATGCCAAAGATACCATAAACGTTTCAATACTTGTGAAGACATCAAGGTACATGTGAATGAGAAGGACTCATTGGATAAATTCTTTTAATTTCCGTAGAAGAAACTGTTCCACACGCATGCAGGAAGATGAAAACATAAATATTTCCCATGAGTAAATTCTAGTTAAATTAAGTACTTATCGTACCAAGTTACAACGAAGAAAAATCCGGCTTGCCAAGCGATACTCTTGGCAAAATCAGAATCAGGGTGCCAAGTAATTAGAGATTCCGATTTACTCACTGCAACCAATAGGTACGTATGCTGTATCACCATTGCCATTGCTAGAGCAAAAAGAGCACCTGTTGCAGACAATAGAGGGATTTTGCCACTACTTGAATACGTACACTCGGATTTCGTTCCTTTCCCTTCACCACTCGACGCCTGCCATATCATCTGCATTAGTATCCGACAGATTAAAGCTTTAATTCCTTCTTTCGAGAACAGTAAAGAATAGAATGAAACCACGAAGAGAGATTATAGTTGTTCGCCCTCAATATGAGGTCGAGGGGGTAAGTGTACAGCATGATTAGGCATCACAAGGTCCAATAATTATACTTTTCGATTAGTACCTGGGAACGGCTGGCCTCCGAAATGAGACAGAGAATGAAGGAAAAGAGGCCTAATAGTATAGACAAAACCATTAAAAATGCACCAGTTTTGCTGCCTAGATCACAGCTTCGTCGACTTGGAGCAATATCAGCATGCGTCACAGCCATTTTCGGAGTTTATCATGCAAAGAAAAAAGGGATTTTCACAGATGAAAGAATGATGGATAATCTGGAGTTCTACACTGGAAAAAGAGAGGAAGTTTTAGAATTGCTTGGAACAAAGGTTACTTAAAGGGCAGAGATTCTCTGTTCCTGGGCTTCTCTTTCAAGATTTTACACATAGTTTTCTTGGGATTTTTTTTTTCTTTGTAAATGTTCTGATTAATCGAACCCCATAAAGTTATTTTGCTAAATATGTATAAAGGTAGTGAAAAAAATCTGTTTAGATAATCCACCTTCTTGTAATACGCTTTCATAATTCAAAAGGTAGATCATAAAGTCTACATACATCTGTTGGTTTGACTTCGGTTTAAAGATAGACCTACGAGAACAACACACGTCCATGGTGACATCGGTGGAATTGCTCAGTTGACTTGAGTGTCGAATGATCTCTTCTAGACAACCCAACATCGTCTTAAAAGCACGTGTGCTACATCGATTGGAAATTTTACATATCGACTCTCGATTTCAATGAGATGCTTTTGTATCTCCAACGTTTCTTTTGTGGACTTTATTAAATGTGCAAAACGTGTAGCCAAAAAGAAATTATTCCATTTATGCATATATTCGATTGGTTTCTTACAAGTACTAAAGGTGCTTTTCAGACTAATACATACTGACCATTCATATTAAGAGGCATCTAATTAAGACTGAAAAATAATCTTCTTTATTAACTTTTGGACCTAAAGAAAAAGAATTTATGATACGTCTAATGTCTTTACTTTTTCTAACTCAAGAAAGGTCCCTGGAAAAATATCTGAATTTCTTTCTGGGCAAAAAAAATGTACATTTACACAATTCATTTTAGGCTTAAATTGAGATAGAAGGGAGAAATTTATTTAATAGAATCTCCAATTTATTGCAATTTAATTACTTTAACTTGTTGAATCATTGTATCTAAGCTAGAGCCATTGGAGATGAGACATAATAATTTATTAGTAAATACTATATATTTAACACGACTTATCACGTGTTGATTAAATTCATAATACTTAAAAAATTTCCGTTTAGGGGAGGTGAGGTGAGACTTGAACTTGTTTATTTGCATGCTGACGCTATCTTTTGACTTATTTCATTTAAAAGTCTAATGCAAGAGGACACAACTTATTTATTTATTGGGTTAATTTCACAAACGATCACTAAAGTTATCTGAAAATCACAAAACGATCACTGAAGTTTAAAACTTGCAGAAATGGTCACTGAAGTTTAAATTTCTTTCACAAACGGTCACTGAATTTTCAGATTTTTTGAGCAAGTTTTGTGACGATTTTTCGGCAATTTCTGACCACCAAGATTGTCGGATTTAGATACCGTTGGAAAGCCCACAATGTCCTCTTCAATTACCATAAAAAATTTCCCCATAAATCCAAGGGATTCGGCCGGAATAAACTCATGAAGTCAACTACCAAAAAAATCTGAAAATTATATTTCAAATTATCTGAAAAAATCTGAAAAATTTGGGCAGATTTTCAGATTTTTCGGTAGCCGACTTCGTGGGTATATTTCGGCCGAATCCCTTGGATTTATGAGAAGAGTTTTGGTGGTAATTGAATAGGACATTATGAGTTTTCCAACGGTATCTAAATCCGACAGTCTTGGTGATCGGAAGTTGTTGGAAAATCGCCGCAAAACTTGCCCAAAAAATCTGAAATTCGATTACCGTTTATAAAAGAAATTTAAACTTCAGTAACCGTTTTGTGATTTTCAGGTAACTTCAGTGACCGTTTATGAAATTAACCCTTTATTTATTACTTTTTTTTTTTTATCAAGAAATGGTCTAATGAGTATCAATGTCCGTCTTATATTATTCACCGATGATACAACATATCAATTCATTGATGAATGACAAGCTTAATTCAAATGTTGAGGTTCAACATAAATTTATCTATAAATAAATTAATATGTCAAGTTATCGTGCTCAACATATGATGAGCGTCATGCTGGTTAAACCATTTCCCTCATTCCATCTAAAAAATGGAATTAATTAATTACTCATAATTGGCTATCAAAAAATTGAATTGTACATTATAGTTTATTCATCCAACCTTGTCTTTAAATTCATTAGGGTGATTGTCATTGCCTAATCATTTATCAATCAATCGTGAAGCCTTTGAAATTGACTAATTAATTAAATTGGTCATGAAGATTTTATGCGGTCCAAAAGCTCGTGCTTTTCATTGTCATCTACAAATGTGCTCTTTAGTTTTTATTCTTTTCATTGAAAATTAACAAATACTTCCATACATATAATATAATATTGGAGCAATAATTGAAGGTCGCAATAATAAAACATCCATACGATGCATTATACTCACTATATAATGTATTTTTTATGGTAACTAATATGGAAAATTTTCGCGACTACATTATTTGTTATACCTTGTAAATTATAACTAAAGGCCGTGCAAGAAGACGAAGAAGAGCATTTCTGCCGAGGATGAGACCGAGCCCACGCTTGAGCCCCGTGGATGAGCTCACGATAAAGAGGATGAAGCCAAGCATTTAAGCAAAGTTCGTGCTAAATAAGAAGTGGCTTCTTTTGTCATTCTTAAAAATCTATGTCCTTGCTTTAAATCTCAAACAAGAGACACTGAGAATATTTGTTTGGTACTGATTAAAATTCAAAGTTAATCAAATTTGAATTTAACAATTAATTTTAGTCATATATTTTATGGGTCCCATAACTTTTCAACTACACATTTCATCAACTTTTATCAAATATACAAAAAAAAAATTAATTTTAATCTCCATCATACGAGGGCGTAATTTGGTCTTATAGCACTTGGAGCACATGGCATCCAGACATGTGAACTTTTTAATAAGTACTTATTTTACTTATAAGACAGTTCCTTTTTCTTAAGCCCAAACCAAGCATGCTTTATATCTTTTGTACGAGGATTGTGTTTGATTAGGAACACATTCAATAAAGTTTACAATAGTCATAAAATATAACCTTTTTTTTTTCTTGTGATCTATAATAGGTTTCAGAGGATTTCTTTCTCCTTAAACCAATTTTCATTCGAAAAAAATCGAATGATTATAATAGGAAAATAATAAAAATTTGATTCAACATCTACTTAAATATCACTGGAACGATAATGATGTGAACCCGCGTAGCAACGAAGGTTACGGAACCCACAAGATATTGAAATCCGACCCAAAAAAGTCCAAACAAACAAAGTTTATGGATTTGATTCGAAAAACAATGAATTAAACAATCCACACAATCAATATGATATGTTGGCCTTTTAATTACACGATTCAAGAAATCTAACCCGAAATTAAAGTTCGACCCGGAAATATTGAACCAAGAAACCAAAGCAATTATGAAAATATCGTGACCCCGTGATTACAACGATAAACGAATCTCACTTGATTGGTTGAACGCCACGAGAATTAACAAGTTCGGTGTGATTGTTCCATGAAGAACAAAAGAAAGAAAGCACTATAGCCTTTCAAATTAATTCCATAATTATGTTGTTCAAGTTACAATGAAAATAATGAAATCTATTTATACTAAACCCTAATTAAGGTGGTTAAAACAAAAATAGACTCTTAAGATTACAAATATATCAAATGGAATAGAATCATAATCAAATAAGGTAATTTCGGGAAAAAAGGAAAATTTTGAGGTCTCGATTTCGCCATCCATCTCCTCAACAAATATTGCACTCTCGTTTGATTGTAGCCTATTCCAGCTCACATAAGATAATATGCCAAAGTTGGTACTACAATTGTAATTTACTAATTTTAAAGCTACATGCATGCGCACAAATAAAAGGATTGATTTGCAAAATGGTTCCTATTGATTGGCTACTATGAGCTTGTTTGTTTGGGATTCTCGAATTTTATAGTAAATCAATTTTCATTTTCAATTACACATTTTTCAATAAAATAATGTTTTCCAACACATCAATAATTTTTTTATTCTTTTTCAACCACACATTTCCCATCATATCACTATTCAAAAATCAATTCTTCCTCCAAAAATCTTAAACAAACACCCCCTATATGGAATCATGACTCATCTTTTTAGAGTTATGCTACATGTACAAAGTTGGATTATAAAGTTGGTTGACAAAATAACATCTATACCAATCATTTTAAAAACATATTTTTAAATCATTTAAAATCAACGATCTGGATTTTGTCAACACACTTTGTAACCCAACTTTTGTAACTCAACTTTGTACAAATAGCTTTATTGCATCTTTTTAATCTTGCCACTAATGTCCTGATATGAACGTTTAGGTGAGTAAATTGTCCTTTCAGACTGTTTCCGTTCAATTTCTTCACCAAGTTTGCACGTGAACCTCACTTGCTTTATTTTTGAAGGGCAAAAAGGTCAATTTGTTACTCATCTTAAAATCGATATGAGAAATCCATCAAACGGATGAAATGTGTTCGAAATGATATTTTTCGTAGCAAACGTTGCCCCTGTTTGACACTCATTCTTATCTCATTCTCAGTTTTTTTTTCTCTTTCTTCATTTTAACCACACATTTTCTCAATAAAATAATATTATACAAAAATCTAAAACTTTTCATAACTTTTTCACTACACATTCTCTCATCAATCACTATTCCAAAAATTCTATTCTCCAAAAAATGGGTGTTAAATACCCTCACATCTTTTCTTCATTTTTCTTTTAAGAATATATAGTTAGCCCTTAAAGAAGTTAGACATATAAATGTTCACACTATTAGTCATTCCCTGTTTGAGTCACATTCTCATTCTTCTACTCATTTTTAACTACACATTCTTCAATAAAATAATATTTTTCATCACATCAATAAATATTCCTTCTTTTTCAATCACACATTCAACATCACATTACTAAAAAATACATTCTTTCTATTTTAATTTGCATCAAACACACTATTAATAATCAAAGCCAAGGTAGGAAGATTGTCCAACAACGACTCACTTGCTATCAATTGAAGTACAAA